TCGCCAGAGCCTCCCGCAGCCGGTCCAGGGTGGCCCCATGACCCTCGTGGTCGCCGTGGGAGAAGTTCAGGCGGGCAACATTCATACCTGGGCGTACAGAGGGTCATGGCAGAAGAGAGGGGAGGCTTTTGGTCAGACAGGCACTGGCTGGAATTCAATGAGAGAGTTTGAATGGTGCGACATGTTGCCGGATCGGGAAGATGCATCCGCTTCTATAAATTAGAAGGAGCCCTCGGGATGCTCGCACTTTAATGTTTCGTTTTATGCCTTCCTGTTTGCAATATTATATCTAGCTGACCATGCAAGCGGAGGAATTACCGTAGGGGTAAAGACCTGTTACTTTCACCCCCATTCCCGGCTCCGCGGCTCCCTCCGTATTGGTGACGTACCCGCGTCGATGAGCTTTCCCAGGCCTTCCACGGACCAGCAAGCCGGCCCCAGCGTGCAGACAATCTTACTCTTGCGAATTGCATTATTCTCTCGCAACACGTGATCAAGAGTGATGTTGGATTCGCGGAGGACGTGACCGGCAGGAGGGGAAGCCATGGATGATGCTGGGTGGGGGGGAGTAAGATGTAAACTGCTCGTGGAAAAGAAAGAGTATCGCATGACGTATCCCATATAGTCAGCAAAAGCAATACGAGGTGCTTTAGAAATTTCTGGTGTCCTTCCCTCTACAGACATGGAGAAGTCTGACGGCTCCTACCACGACAACACCGCCGACGCAACAAATCGCTTGTTTGCGTCGCTGCCTCGTCCTCATGCTCGCTCATATCCATCTTACACACATCTCACCTTAAAACCAAGAGCCACACATGCAATTAAGGCAAAGAAACGCACGGAAGAGCTGACAAACGCTTTGGGATGGACAGAACTATCGAGGAGACGACCACGTCGAAACCCGTGGTGCCGTACGCAACAGGGACGTACGTGAGAGCTTCATTTTGACTCGACGAGAAAAGTCACACGGGCGCGCGTGAATCGCAAGATTCTGCAGGATCGCTGTTGGTTCCGAGCCTTTGTTTTGTTTATCTAAACTTTCCGGGAGCGTAGGCGACAAGGAACATAGGAACGGATTGATTCCTAGTGCACACGACCTCAAAAGAGTATTTGCAACGTGATTATTTTAATCTCATTTCTGTGTTTTCTTGTTTTTTCACACTATTTTAACAAGACACGAGCTTTTCTTGTTCAATTTCATCTAAGCCCATGCGCCCTCGCCACATTTTTTTTAACCCTGCATCCTCCGCATTACCTTCGAGCAGGATCTTAGCCTTCTCTTTGCTGTTCACCCGTCCGTACCAGTCGCCTCCAGGGAATACCAATGCGTTCGCAGCATGTGCATGCCCTCCCACATGTGAGGATGGCCACACTCTAACTTGGTCTTTACCCCTCATGTCAACCTCCTCTCGCAGCCATTTGACCAGCGGCGGCCCGCAGGCCTTACACCGGGCATCGCGTGAGGCATGAGCACACACAAAGATATCTTTCCCAGCAAGATTTTGAACAGCCACATGCGTTGGGAGGGCGGTCGGTAGGGTGGTTGGATAATCCGCGACCGAGTGCAGCAATTTCACCAGAGCTGGTATGTCGGCCTTTGTCAGACCACGTACAGCGAGAGAAGGAGTGCAAGGAGAGAAGATCAAGATAGTGTGGAGACCGCGATCTTTGAAAGCATTTATGGCATCCTCGTCTGTGATACGGTGATATCAGTTATTGCTACGGAGGCTCGCGACTTCCATATACCATGACCCTAACATGACTCCCCATACTTTTTACGCTTGACAAAAAGATTATATTTGAGAGGAATCCTATCTTTCTCCGCTAAATATGAAAAAATATGTAGTCCACAAAATATAACATACCATCGCTTGGCGCGCCGAGCGGGTGATTCAATGCCTCAGCGACATTAAATTTCAGCGTCCATGCTCTTTCCTGTTCGCCACTTCGGGAATGGGCCGCCATTAGTAGCGCTCTCTGAGCTTGCATGTAGTCAGCTACGAGCAAAAAACGTGACTCTTCCAGGTACGTCGGCCAATTTTCGTGCCCTCGGAAAGGGTCTAGAATGAAGACCTACACGGGTTGCTGGATGATTTGAGACAAATAGACGACCAAGACGAAAGGGCCATATTAACAGAATTTACCTACATGCCTATCGTAGCGCCTTACAGTTCCCGCCATTGGTGCAGCATCGTTTATAGGGCGGTGGAGAGAACGGTGACGTCTTGTTGCTGGGCTTGTATCAGTAGAAGAGCTGCTCGTAAATGATTGTGCCCCTGCAATGACGAAGGCAGAGGGTATCTTTCTTGTCGGCAAACTTCCTTTTACTATCCTGACGAAACTCGTCATAGTAACCTTGCTTACAGATTATTGATAGACGTGAGCTTTTTGTATGTGAGGCAGATTGTAAAATGAGATTTCAAAAGAAAATGCTAGGTACGTCTTCACCTTCATGTACGATTAGCCGTACACAAAGGCTCTTTGCTGGACCCAAGCAACTATGCTGTAGATCAAGAATACATCAGTCAAGCCATGAGTACACCTAGAAAGGAAATACGCTAAAGTCCTGCATGACTATTTGAACCAAAATGCCGGAGTTTTGGCGACTTTGAATTCGTTTTGGGGGGAGAGCAAATTGTTTTCGAAGGGGAGAGGTCAATTCAAAGGGGGCTAACGGCTGAAGATTAACGGCTGCAGTGCCGTTGGGAATTGGAGAAAGGGTATACGGCTTTTACTAAGTACCCGACAAAAGTGTAGAAGGACATTGCACTCAGAATTTTAAGCTGGCCATCTTGTACTTTCACCAAGCAGAGGTGTCCAGTCTTTTGTTCTACATGAGACCCACCTGCTTTGCTTACATGTGGAGTTGTACGATTTGGAGCTTACAACTTTTTGAAATTCTGAATTAAACCAGTAAATTGCTTGAGAGTCCAAACTACCTGTCCTGTGTACTTAAAAGTTGCGTGCAAAAAGTTTCCCACGATTATTGGTTTGCAAGCTACTCTGGAAGACTGTGTAAAACCCTACAGGCCATGCTTACTTTTCGTAATTGACAAAGACAGGCCGGCTTGAACCGTCGAGCTTATTCTTTTCGTCTGTTTGCCAAGTCATTTCACTCCATTGCTTATTTTTGTTCCCAATCGCTAACACTTATCTGCTTCATTACTCATTTACGATCACTTACAAAACATATTTTATAGGGTGACATGAATATGGCGGCCTCTCTCGATCAAAGCTTGACTATATTTGATTATTTGCCTAAGGCGGAGCCTCCATCTCTCAATAATAGCATGAGCGAGTTGGCTTCTGCGGTCTCTTCCGTGCGGGGAAATGAAGATGACGATGACGAAAGAGAGGAGAACGGCACTTACGTGAATTCGTATGGCTCCTCATTCCCGGCATCCGCGTCCGGAACAAGTAACCTCACTGCTACGTCCGCCGCGAGCAAGTCTTCGACGACGGTAGCGTCGTCAGGAGCCACCCGAAAAAGATCCACAGCAAATGCGCATGGATCGTCAGACGACAAACGTCAAAAAAAATTGGAGCTGAACCGACTTGCTTCGCGGGTGAGTTTAATTTTACTTTGGAAAGAGGATTCTGCGAGAATCCCTTCCCCGAAAAGGTGTGAATAAAGTTGATGCAATGCTAGATTCACCTTACCAATTCCTCCACTCTGACCTTACTTCCATCCCATTGGTCTCCAGGAATCCCGCAAACGGAAGAAAAGACGCTTGGAAGAGCTGCAGCGCTCCGTGCTGTATCTGACGCACGAGAATCACCAACTTAGGGAGCAAAATGAACTGCTCCGACAAATGCTCATTGGCCGGCTTCCCACAGGGACAGTAGCGGCAGCCCTAGGAAATGGGGGGGAAGGAAACGAGAAAGGGCTCCTCGCAATGAGGGGACCGGGGGAAATGGAGAAGGAAGAGGTGTTGGCAACGGATCACGGGGAAGGAGAAAGTCTCAATGTGCTGGGCTCCATGTCCTCGGCCGCGGTGGATATGTTCTTTCCGAACACGAATTTATTGATGATGAAGGAAAATGTTGAAGGCGGGAAAGAGGAAGAGCCCTCTATAGTTGGAGCAGCATGAAACGACCATCTCGTGCGGTGGGGAAAACCCGGGGGAACAGCGACAGAGTTGGCGTGACAAGAGAAAAGGCCGGTCGAGGATGGCCATATGAGGGTCCTCTGGAGGATCAATGTTGGAAGCAAATGACGGAGAAGCAAGGGGAATAAAAAGAGGGAGAGAATTTGAAGAGGCGATAGTTCGTGCTTCGGATGAGGACCTACCTACCCCTCAGAGACCAACCATCTAGAATATTGTATCAGACATGGACCTTGATGTCTGCAGGAGGCTCTGCGCCAGAGGAAGATAGCCATGACCGATTTAAAAGGAGAAAGACGTCGGGAATGGTTTAAAGATATACGGGATGAAAGGAGGATTTGAAGGGATGTGCATGTTTTGTCAGATTTATGTCTAGTGCATATTTATGGTCATTGACTTGGTTCTAGTGGAGGGGAGGTGCGAATACAGAAATCTTCTGGTCCGCGAGGACGCACAGGAGGATAAAGGTGGGAAGGGAGAACTTTTTGTGAGCAAAGAAGGGGTCCACGAGGAATGGAGGACGGACTAGACGTGAGGAGAGTTTATGCCGAAGGAGACCCTTCAGAAGTGCAGGTGGAAAACGGATCAGGAAGGAAACAATTAAAACCCATGTGGAAGGAAGAGGATGAGGGGTTTGGGCGGCAGCGGAGCCGAGGCAACTGCACGAATCATGGTCATATACCATCTGATGTGGATCCTCTTTCCACACCATGTTCGGCTGACTGGGATGATCGTCATCTATCTATCTCTGTGTCTATCCTATGCTTCGAGAAGAATCGAAAACAGGTAAAAAAGTATCCAAGTCTGCCAAAAGTGCAGCCTGTAAGTCAGGAACCAAGGCCTGCGCCTCTCAGCCCAACACATTAAAAGAAGAGAAACGACAAGACATCTTCCTTCCTGTGTATGTCTGTCTTGCCCGGCTTGAGGTATGATTCTACGCCTTTACTTGCAAATGAATAATTTGCACGATTTATGCTCCAACCCCCTAAATCATTCTAATGAAAAGGTCGCCTCATTCCACGTCCTACGTGATCTTTTCAACATCTTCTCGGGACCTTCCACCGCCCTCCCTTCTCGAACCCTCCCTCCTTGGGCGTTTTGCCTCTTCCCTCGCCCCTTCCCTCCTTATTTGTACCGTGCTTTTTCTCGTTCCTCTTCCGTCATTAACGCGCGCTCAATCCGTTTGACTGTCGCCAAATCCCCCGCCTGTAGGGGAGAGAGGGTAAAGGATTGCACGTAAAAGTAAGGAACCGCCACATATTCACCTCCGCCCTCACCGCGCTCCTCCTTCTACTCAAGCAGTCCCGCATTGATTTGACCCCTTTACTTCCTCTTGTACCTTGTACGCTTGCTGCATCTTGGCCCGCAGCAACTCCTCCTCCTTCAACGCATCCCTCTTTTCTTTGCTCATCATCTTCAACGCCCACTCCAAATCGGCTCGTTCACCCTCCTTCGCGCCTTTTTTACTCTCCAAGCGGCGTTCCTCTTCGTCCTTGAACACGCCTCCCTCCCTGCCTTCTTTAAATGCAGCTTTCAACTGCCCACGTTTGTACTCATCCATCTCGTAGGCTTCCACGTTGTAGTACTTAGGATGAGGGAACGTGGCAGTATTGTAGTCCTATATCAAGGAAAGAAGGACGGGGAAGGGAGGGGAGGGAAAAAGCGTGGGGGCGCCAGTACCCAGTCTCGTGCCCGCTAAGCCAACCAGGTTATGTGTGGTTGTGATGGGTAAGCAAATAATAGTGTCGTTATCCCGACCATCCCAAAGGGAGAGGCGCGGGCCATAACACCCTCCCTCCCCCGATACATGCATAAGACTGAAACCGGCATAGTAACCCTCATGCCCTCTTACCTCCATGTAGTAGCGAAACAAGCGGAGGGCCTCGTGGTGGTTTCGGGGAATTTCGGGAAGACCTTTAATCTCCTGACACCACACTTCGAAGTCGTTCTTCTTCCTGTGAAAGTCCGATTCCTGCAATTCAAAAGAAGCAGGTACGACAGAAGCAGGTACGACATGCGAGATACAATTAAGACAAAAAGCAGGTACACTTGCTGCGCATTCATGCCCTGCCTTCCATTCCCACCCCTTTCTCCTCCCTTCTCCCTTCCTTCCCCGCTCACCCGAATAATGCCGTGTTTCCCGAACTGGTTCATGTCCACGGCCCCCGGTATGATTGCTCCCTTTGCCTTGTCGTCTCTCCTCTCCTTCTTCTTCTTCTTCTTCTTCTTCTTTTCCTCCTTTTTTCCGTCTTTTTTTCTTCTCTTTTCCTTCTTCCTGTCGTCCTTTTCCTCCTTCCGTCTCCTCTTCCTCTCCCTCTCTTCATGTTTTCTCTTCTTTTCTTTTTTCTCCCGCTTTCGCCGCTTCGTTGCCCGTTCCCCTTCTCTTTCGTCCGTTTTTGATCTTCCTTCCTTCTCCTTCTCAACTTTCTTCCTTTTACTCATAGCTCCCACTTCTTTCATATCTACCCTCCTGCCATCACCTTCGCTGTCTTCATTTCCGCTTCCTTCGCTGCTGCTGCCGCTATTCCCATCGCTTTCACCGCTGCTAGCCACTGTTTGCCACATTCTAGACCTTTGCTGTGTCTGGACTCGGTTCTCGGCCTGTAGCAGAGCTTCAGCCCGATTCTGGAGTAAAAAAGGGACAGGCAGAAATTGATGAGGAAGGTTTGCGTTTACAGATGTCAAGACCGAAAGCACCGTGAAACGGGCACCCTTACCCTTTCCTGTTTCTTCTTTTTATCGTTTTGAACATTCCCGGTGCTGCTACCGCTGCCACCGGTCGAAGATGACGAGGACGACGAAGAGGATGAGCCAGCGTCACTGAGTTGAGCGCGATGGAAGATAAAGCGTTAAAACCCTCAAAAAGAAGTTAAGACGAGCTTCAAGCTGAACGTTTTGTCTATGCTATGTAAAATTCATGCGCGTATTTGTATATCTACCTGTCATTGGCATCACTGCATGAATGACGACGCTCCTCTCCTTCACCGGCACCACTCTTGCTCCGAGGTACTTCCTCATCCGAGAAAGTCTTCTCCTTCTCCTGACCAACGCCCATCGGTCAGTCAACGACGTTTCAGACGTCTGTATCTGCTCGATCTGTTTCGTGGTGTGTGCGAGTCACTTGTGACATTTTCTAGGCCACGGTCCTATTGGTCCTTCTAACCTCCCCTCATATGAGGACAGGTCTCCCTAACTTTGTCCTCGGGAAAAGAATGATGGTTCAATGAAAGCGACCCTTGAGTCCTCGTTAGTCTCTTCAGCCGTTTAATAATTCGTGTGATTATTAAAGTGCACCAAATGACTCCCGAGCTTCTTATCATCATGCATAAATACGCGGTTGCCTCGTTCACCGGGTAGCTTCTATCGCCCGAGACTCGCTATTACAAGGTCCCATGCCATCTTACTGAATACTTTTCACCTCGATTTTTTTGTAAACAAGCACAAAACTACAGCAAGACTTTCAAACAACTTCTCATCCATTCAGGATTGTAAGCGGCATTACAAATGTGAGGGGATTGAAGCGTAAGCATGGCACGCGATAGAAGAAGAGGAGGCGATGGATGGTCCACTCAGACGTACAAAGCAATATCAAGGCAATAAGTTATATGGTGATTGGAAGAAGACACCCAACCTTGAAACAATGTTAAAACCCCAGTCATTAAAAACATACCATATAACAGCGCAATTCTTCTGCCGTAAGTCCCCGCGAGGGCGTCGAAACACCACCTCTCCTCTTGACCCTTTGACACAAAGTCTCTTTTTCATACCATCCAGTCATTTACCCTCTTAATCTCTTTGTTTTCAAATCACCTCCATCATCTTCTCTTGTTAAATCCTGGATCCGATGCCGAATTAGACCTTCGATAACTTCGAGCGTAAAACGGAAGCCGGTTTACCGGCAGCCCGTTCGACGAGTATCCCACAATCATCATTTTCTTTTTCGTGCAAGCCTTTCGTTTAAATTCCACCGACTCATCTGCTTATCCTTTGCACCTGCTTTGTTCCCTACAAATCGCTCCCCTCAGTCGTCATAAGAAGGAATATATGCGTATGAATACCCGGGCCAGCCCGCCCACGCTCCAAACAATTGAAATGATGCGTAGCTACCCGGAATAAAGACTGTAGTGGGGAAGATAAAAGAGTAACTTCAGAAAGATGCTGAAAGAAGAGTCAGAAGGCATGGACTTGCTCCTAAATCGGAGCAGGGCGCACATAGAGAAGCCTTGATACTCTGGAACGCAAACCCCACCGTCAGCCCTGTCCTCTTATTCCTCCATTTCCGCCCGTCATCATGCCCCCAAAAGACCTTTCCAATATGCATGGCACAACCCGCGAGCCCTATACTATCAGATTTCTCCCTGTGCCCCTCTCTCTATTCCCCGCCCCGCCACTTACGCAAGCTCCCCAAGATGATCATGGCCAGACCTCGCTCCTTTTCCTTCGGGTCGGTATGCCACCGGATCCCTAGTCCCGTGCACAATAATATCGTGCCTGTCACCAGCATAAGCACAGCCGCCAGGGTGGTCTTGGGAGGCGGAGGCCCACGTCCTGGCCTGCGTCGAGGATTGACAGTCCTTGCAGAACTTTGCCTGTCCATTTCGAATTTATTGAAAAGAGGGGAGAATCCTTGTGGTCCTTGTTGCGACGGGTGGGGGGTGGAGGATGGTGGAGGCACCGATGGGGTTGACGAGGAGTACATGCTGGTGAGATTGAGAGTGCCCGAGTCCAGCCTTTGACCTTCTTCTAACTGCGGGGCCTTTTGATCAGGCGACTGAGGAAGCGGAGGTGGAGGTGAGGAGGGCTGAGCAGTCTCCCCGGACGGAGAGGTTTTGTCGATGACTGACGCCGTCCCTGTGTTGGATATTTGGGAAAGATTGTGACGCTAAAGGACGGGACATGAGGTAGCAATGGTAACGTGCTTGGGGAAAGATTGATAGCACAAGCGCATTCATGATGATCACAGCCTTTAATTCCACCAATCCAATGAATGTGGGGTGTTTATATGTTCATCAACTTTTAGATAGCTTTTACCATTCCTTGGACTGTTTTTGGGGGCATTTTATCTTCCACCTTCTTGGAAGGTTACCGAGGACGTGACCTCTCGTCTGTTCATGTAGCGAGTCGACGCAAAAAGACCATCAAAACCATAGATGCACAAAGCAGAGCTTTCCGATAGGGAAGTGTAAACAAAAAGAGGGCTAAAAAGGGACTGCGGACGACATGAGTTATTGTTGTGAAGGCAGAATTCCTTCAAGATCAACAAGAAGGAAGAATTGAAATTGTGCGAACTCGATTCCCGGCCTACTGGAAAGCAACAGCCAATTCCTGAACGACATTTCACCTTCCACCGCCTGCATTCTTATTTCCTTGCACAGGTCGACGATTTCCAGTGGCTCTGCTTTCCCTGGTGTGCGTGCACGCATTTTTTTATCGGCCATCCGCATTCCATTCCATACAACCTCCTCCCTTCCGAAGGGACCACGTCTGCGCAACTGAGGCACCCCCCCAAAAAGAAATACGCCGCCTTTAAGTCCTTTACACGCGCGCAATCCCCCCCTTCTATCTCCGCTACTCTGTCTTGAGCAGCGTGGCCTCTCATCGACGTGGACTCGCCTTTTATAGAAAGAATGGATGTGGCATTTCTTACCCCGGGATGGGCACCGTCATCCGATTCAATCGTCTCTCCACTCCCACCCTCCTCCACCGCGTCCCCGCCCAGCTGCAGTCTCACGCACAGGCTTCCACGCCTTCTTCGCCCCGGGGACACTGCAAGGGCCCACCGTTTCGTCACGGCCTCCTCCCGGACCCAATATCATGGCCGATCTTGGTCTTCACCTTCGATCTTGTCATTTTCCGGTGTATCCGCCGCGGACTGTCCTTCCAGAAAATGCGGGGCAATGAAAAGGTATGTGCACAGGGTGGAAATATGAGAAGGAAGGAAATGTTGCGGGTGAGCGGAGTAAAAAGGAAGGGAAGGTAGGCGGAGCGGAAGGGTTTAGCGTCTGAGAGCATTTCCTTTTTGTACGTACCGGCATGCTCAAAGCCATGTCACCCATACCACCCTGCTTCCTGCCCTCAATCCTCAGTAACCTTCTCCATCGCTGTGCAGTGCCCAACCAGAAAGAAGGGACAAGCAGCCCCCAGGAACATACCCGGAACCAGCTGGAACCCGTCGATGCCTCCTCCCCCTCCTCCCCCTCCTCCTCCTCCCCTTCCTCCCCTTCCTTCCCCTCCGACGCTTTTGCACCTTCTCCAGCTTCGTTAAAGCCTGAAAGACAAGAGTGGGCAGTTCCGGACAGCCCCGAACCTCCTTTCTCCGTTTCCCCCAGCGTTCCCACCCCATCCCGACTCGTCAACAGCCCGTCCGCTTCCCCTCCCCTCCCCACCGAACCCGCTCCTTCCTTCCTCATCACCCCTGCCCTCGCCTACCTCCTCCTGAATGTGGTCACCCTCCTATGGGGAAGCCAGCACGCGGTGATCAAAAGTGCCCTGGCGTCCTCCCCCGACTATCCTGGTGTCTTCAATCTCCTCCGCTTCGGGCTGGCCTCCCTCTGTTTCTGGCCGTGGACGCCATCTTTCCTCCCTCCCTCCCTCGGCACCTGCTCGGAGAATGGGGAAGAGGGCGTGGACGCGGCGGAGAAGGAACGCCAGGGCCTGTGGCGGGCGGGCGCCGAGCTTGGGATCTGGATGTTTCTGGGCTTTTCCTTACAGGCCGTCGGTTTGCAACTCACGTCCGCGTCTAGGAGTGGCTTCCTCCTCTACCTGAACGTGAAGCTGGTTCCCCTCTTCGCCTGGCTGCTGCTGGGTCGACGCCCGAGTTTGGACGTGGTCGTTTTTGCTCTGCTGGCGTTTGCGGGCACGGCGCTCCTGTCCGTCGACGGGGGAAGGATGCCGAACGTTGGGGATGCGTGGTCCCTGGCAGCTGCAGCCGCCTCGGCTATGTTCATTTTACGACTGGAGGG